ATTTACTTTTATTAGATTTATATCCTGCTTCTTTCTTAGAACAAGCTCAAAGTGGCTTCCACCACTTTCCTCCCAGTGCTCTCATGCTTATCCCCACGGCGATAGACCCTCTTTCATTCCAAGGCACTCCCTTTTTTCACCGTTCCGGAGCCTCCTATGTGGGGCAATGTCATATACTGAAGAAGCAGGACTGAGTGGGACATTCAGTTTATACTCATCTGGGGACTGTTCCACCGTAAGAGCCAGCATGGCAGTGCGGCACAGTGGTCGGAGCACTGAACGGGGAATCCGCAGCTTCTAGCCCCCACTCAGTCATGGAGTCCCCTGGGTGACTTTGGGCCAGTCACAGACTCTCGGCCTAATCTACTTCACGGGGGGGGGGGGGGTTGTGCGGATACAATTGAAAGGATTATGTAAGTCTCCTGGAGCTCCTTGAAAGGAATAAAGTACTGATAAGATGATTTATATATAAATACAGTACAGAAAAAATACGTCCATTTGCTTCATATTGCTAAGGTGGTTCGGTTATCACAAGCACTGCTTTGAAAGGTCACTGTATATTTAACTTTTTCCTCTGCATCCATGTGCCTATAAAGTACCTACCAGCTGAGAACAGCACTTCACACATCTGATTAAAAACGTGTGTCGCAGTGTATTTGTTAGCCTGTTACAGCAGAACACGAAAGGTCCTGCGGCACTGCACAGACGAAAAAGGCTCTGCTTTGTTTTCGCGGCCGTGCAATTAGCCTTTTTAAAGGAACTGAGTAGCCTGGAAGGCCAAGAAGAAACTGGAAAAGGGGGTCAAACAGCAGAGAAGGCTGCAAGTGGTCCCCGAACTCCACATCCGCTAGTGGGAGTATCTGCTGGGCACAGGCTTCGCTGAGCAGAAGAAACCGCCTTGAAAGCAACCTGTGAAGATCCGTATTCAGTGATTCATCACAGCATGTCCCAGTTTACGCAGGCCTGTTTGAGCTGCTCAGTTCTGCTGCAGCTGAGACTCTCAACTGATGTCCAACAGTGATGCCAAGCGATTCACACAAACTGTGTCTGGGCTAGAAAAAGGCAGACGTGACAAATGAAGGAATCACAATTATAGCTCGGGAACAGAACACTTGTTAATGTGGCTTGGTGTGTTGTGCAGAGGTCCCGACAATGGGAATTGGGCTGTGTTTTCTACAGCACAATGTATGCCGTTGAAGTCCCCTATCAAGTGCATCTTTGTCTCAGTAGAAACATAGTCATAAAGCTACATTTTCCCATTTCTTTTTAAAATGCTTTTTCCTCAAGGCAAGGGGAGCATGTGCCCTGCCTTGGCCGCATCCTCATGACCACCCTAGTCCAGGAAGTTAGGCTAAAGGAGAGTCAATGGCCTCAAGTCACGCAGGAAGTTCCAGGGCTGAGAAAGGATGTGACACAATCTTCCCCCAATTTACGGCCAACACTTAACCTGCTATATTATAATAGATCTCTAATTAACTAATTAATTAACTGGAGCCACTATAACTCTGTAGGCTGCTCCTTGGAACATTTTCAGTAATGGTCCCAGTGTCAGTCTTGTTTACATTGCAGATTTTTGCCCCTTTGGGATGTGACTGTGATCTTTCAACAAGGAGCAGTTAAAACATGGAGTGCACTGAAGCTTAAAGGATCTAGAACGATTACAAAAGCTGTTTTCCCAGGGTCTTCAAAACACCCTTCGCCTTTGGGCACATTAGCATAAAAAAGGAAGATGCGGATCAAATGCTAGAAAGGGAGAACGCATTGCACAGCGCGCCTTTCTGCCACCCCTGCAAAAGCAGGCAGCCAAAGCTCGAACGTAAATTGTCACCATCCCTCCTCTGTCCTCAAGCAACAGAACTACTTTCTCCCCCTAAAATAGTGCAGGCTGAGTGGTTTTATTTTCCAACACCAGCCCCTCAGCCTACCTGCACAGAGTGTGCTTGCAGCTCGGCTCGGCACTCCCCAAGGGAACCGGCCTTCTCCAAGAACCAACAAGGCACAGTTACTATAGCAACTGTGGAGGCAGTAGCTAAGGCTGGTACAGCCACTTATGGACCACACAGATCCAGTTTTCTGGCTCCGTCACGCACACAGCTCACAGCACAACCTAATTCTAGCCTCTTCATCGGAAAACAGCAAAGCGACAAGAACAGGCCTGGCTCTTTATTACACAAGGCGTTCTAAGAGCAAGAAGCCTTCTGGTTTATCTGACAAGCAGCAGCTTAGCACAGCCCCCCTCGAAAGCTGCTGTTTTACTCCCTCCTTAATAGGCGGAGGAGCTAATGCAGAATAGATCAAAACAGCTGACAGAGAAAGGAGGCAGCCAACATTCCCCCAGGCATGTACTTACATAGATTAATGCCTCCGTTCTTTAGATCTTTTCTACTTCTGAGCCCATGGTGAAGAGCAAACCTTGGAGTCTTGGTTTCAAAATATCCCTCAGTGGCAAAGTCTCCAAGAGGGACAGCTTGCTTTACAGAAGTACTGCTCTAATTATCTTCCACTGCGCAGTTAACGCCACTGACACAGGGATAGTTCTGAAGCACCAACAGAGTGTTCCAGAGTTTTACAATTTTAATCCGTGTTTCTAGAACAAACGACTCAGACAGGTCACTCAGCTATGGACTCCTCCACAGAACCCACGCTCTTCTATAGCCATTTCCTTTTAACATGGTGTGGCAAGCGCCTAAATCTCTTGAAAATGGAAATGGTGCACCTATCTGGAAGGCAAAACTTGCAAGAGGCAGTGCAGCACAAACAAGATCAGAGGTCCGCTAAGTCCGTTCCGTATATATGCTGCCCATGTCTATGCATCCTATGATAACTTCACATGACACCGGTAGCAACCACCTTGGATTCCCCACCACCATCTAGAGGAGAGTAACAGAACATACAAAAGGCAGAATACATGTCCAAATGAAGAAAACTGTAATGGCACGTAGGCGTCTTAACTGTGCAGGAAAGGAGTTGTTGCTCTAAATAGTACCAGACAGATCTCTGGAGGAAACAACCCCCGTGAATATCGTCACCCATGTGCAATCCAATTAGGCATTTGCAAATGTGAAACTGGAACTCCAAAGCAAGGATCCAAGGAACCATCAGATTAGTGTTTTGAGAGCTTAGATGGAACTTTACTGCCCAAAGTGTGCTTGGAAAGCAATTTTCAAACTTAAAGATACCCAAAATGCAAGGAGATAAACACACATCCTATGTTTAAACAGGTTTTTGGAAGAAGGGATATATTTTAATTTTAGGCACCCCAAAGAAATCTTGGTATTAAGTTTTCTAATGAGCTGCTGCCATCTAGTGGCTAAAGTTGCTATTGAGATCGTTTTATTTCAGTTTAGCGGCTGAAATCAATGCAATACACTGAATCTAAATCACTCCATTATCGACTCTTCTACCATCCACAGACACAACCATTATGTCGACCAGGATCTGGCAATACGCTGTCTATACATAGCAATGCAGCCCCAGATACCTTTTCCTGGTATCAAGTCCCGACATGGGCAATAGCTAGCTTCACTCAGAGAGATCATTACTTTGATCGTATTAGTTGTTTGTAACTGTACTGTTATTCACACTGTATGGCAAAGCCAGCCTAGCTCAATAAAGGGTTGTATTGCAGAAGTCATTTGCTCTGATCTGCTGAAAAGGAGAAAGGGCTTCCAAAATCCTTTAAATTAATTCTATAAATTCAATAAATCCTTGAAATACTATGTTTCAATTCAAGAATTCTGCATTTGTTTGTAATAACCCAAAAATTAAAAAGGAACATTGTGCTGTAATGTCAGTCTGAAAGCCAAGATCTTAATCCTAATGTCTATGACTCGAGTTGGTAAATTGACATTAGACTGTAATTCTCTGTTTAAAATAAGCAGGATCAGCATGCCAAGGAAGGAAGGAAGGGCATTAGTGTGTGGTCACAGTGCTCATTCTTGTTCATTAAGCTATGATTTAGAGAGCTCAGAAATTTAAGTCTGAACTAAGCCATAACTTAACTTAATATTCCGTATACGTGCAAACTGAGCAAATGCTGTTTCCATTTGTTCCGTGAAACATTTTTCACTGGCACCTTACTGGGAAAATCTCCTGCCTCACCTACGAGAACCGTTTAGGAATGATGTGCCAAGAATGATCTAATCTGCGAGATCCTACTCCAAGAGCTACTTCCAATTTTCAAGCTGGTTATGTGGTTGCAAACACCATACAAAGGGAACACGGGTCAGAATTAAAGATTCTTTCTGTGATGGCACTTGCAACTTTTGCTCAAGGCCAAGAAAATGATCAAAACCAAGTTCCATCATGCAAAAGCGTAGAACCTGTGACTGGCCTTCACTAAGCCTTCCTGCTGACTGATCAATCATTATGCTGCTTCTCATTCCTCAAGCAGCTCAAGGACATTTAAATCAACATCATCATTAAAGTGCTCTGAATGGCAGCATCTTAATAGATTATGTTGCCTATGTTTCATAAGACTGGGTGAGTTCTTTTTTTTCTAGGGCCACCTGTATTCCAATAAAGCAAAAAACAATGAACTTTCTACTAGGCTCAGAATTTAATGTCATGAGAGTGTCGGGGTTTTCAAAGAGCAAGTCCTTATCCCCGAGATTGAAAACAGTTTCAAAATATGTGGGTAATCCTTGGCACATCTCCTAAGCCAGAAAGAAGAACACAGTTAAAGCATCCAGTACCTTACATGAAGCTTCAGTGCTTCTCATAGATCCTCTACAACAGACAAGAGCAATAGCACATTGACTAGTTTGTGGAAGCACAAGAACTAACTTTTTCCTTGGCACAAAATCCAAATTATCTTCTTCTGCAGCATTTTAGATTTTAGTGCCGAGTTCACAATGCCCTTCTCTTCCCCCAACTGATTCTAAAAAAGAACCCAGCCTCAGAACTGTAGTTTAAGAATAAATTAAAAGCCAGATCTAAGCAGTTTATCAATACCACCAGGGCTTGAAAACTTACACCTCTTCCTTTTTGTGGCTACTCACCCTGATCAATAGAATGCTGAGGAAGCTGGCTAAGCTGGCTATTCACTACCCCTGCGTACGTTCGCAAGAACTCCTCTTCGCTGGTGGTTAACTGGAAAAGGACAAAGCATGGTCAATCCACAATATGGCAGAAGGTAAACTCAGTAACAGGGTTTATGTCTGTTTACATTTCTGTGCAGTTCTCTTTGCTGTCACTCATACCCATCTTCAGCCACCTCGTAAAATATGCAGGAGTGACAAAACCATTGTTTCATCAAAGGAGCATGGAACACACATCAAATGATCCAAGGAATTTGAAGCAATGTGTAGAACGCGATTGAAATGATTTTTTAAACTAGCTACGCAACTATACATTGACTGACATTTTGCCTGATTATTGATTAAAATTCTACCCCGCCAAATTAACCAGGATGACTCTCTGGACAACGAATTAGAAATCCTTGTGTGTCCAAAGAGGTCCAAAACGCTAATTATGTTAGATACCCCTAAGTTCACAAGCATTCATATTAGCTGGCAGCGAACCAATGCATGAGCTGCCGAATTATATGCTCTGTATCTCTCAAGTGCTATCACACAATGTCTTTTTCTAGTTTTATGCTTCAAAAGTTGGAGAAGGGGCATAAACATTATTGAAACCTAGATGCAATTAGCACCCACAAATTAGCAGCAGGTCAGGAGGCGGGAACCCAATACTACTTTATATAATTTAAACTGCAATTACCCCTTTATCTAAAAATTCAGATGCAAAGCCAAACAGAAGACAATATTATCAACACCAGTATCCAAGTAAGATTTGCTCTAGAAAGCCACAGTCGCACTTGCCACTTGCCATTTACTTTAATCTCCCATAAGAAAACCTCCAGGGAAGCAAATGTGAAGGTTTTCTAAACTGGAAGATGGAGGACTCTCTCTCCCCACATCAGGCCTAGTCAACATAGCCTGTCCTGAGGGTTCACAAGAGTCCTAAGTCAAAACATCGAAAGAGCAACAAGTTGCCCACCCCTCTGCCACAAACATGGGCATCATGTTCTAGACAGCAAGTACATTCCTGGACTTTTAACTTCTATAAGCTGCCCAGTACTTACATTTGATCCCATCTTCCTAAGCATAAGCAGGACTCGCACTTTCTGCTGAATGTACATCTCCTCCGGACTCTTCCCGGGGACACCCTCACGGTTCATTCCCCTCTCCCCAATTCCAGAGACTCCTAAATATTCAGCAGCAGCAAAAAAGAGCAACACAAAAACGTTTACTACAACAAGCAAAGATAAGAAGAGACGTGGAATAACATCTACAGTTTGAAACCATCATGATCCTGCCCAGAAGAACTGACTAGTCAGGTCTAGATCCTCCATATGAACCATTCAGCCCTGTCAGGAAGTGTCACGGACAAGTTCATCACATTGGACCTTTGGGGAGTGTTCAGTTAGAACTGCAATTTAGCAAAACAGAGAAGTTTGTTTTGTGTATGGAGGAAGTATTTTTCCACTCCTTCCTGTGGGAAAAAAATTGGCAGGAGAGTACATTACCTTGCTACAGCCTGTGTGCACACGTGTTCAACACGAAGGCAAGTTACCACATGGTAAAGTCACTTTTCCTGGAGCTTTTGTGACTTTAGTTCTAAATTAGCAGAAGCATCTGACCCGGGTGCTATGCAGCCTGCACAGAGCTACCAATAACGATTCGTGATTGGAAGTCAAATTACAGTGCTGCACAGAGCCGACAGCCCGGTCATGCCACCTTCCAGTTTCTTCAGACCAGAGTGGGCTAGTCACAGCTCACAGCCAGAAAAGGAGCAAGGAACGGTGGGACAATGCAAGAGCCAATATTACCTGTTTGCCTGGTGACTGCAGGCTATGAGAACATTCAGTGGCGAACCGCCCAGGAGGAGCAATCAGCAATGTCTCCTCGGAAAGAACATGCAGGGCACCACCTGCAAAACACACACAGGAAGACTGAGGTGAAGTATCTGGCTGAGACGCCCTGCAATGTTGCTGCTGTCTGACACGGACGGAGAAAGGAAAATGGCGCCCATTGGCCTCCTGCTTGCCAACTGCCCTCAGTGAATTCATCTTCCGCCAGAATAAAGTGCATTAAACGGTCTAGAGCACTGCTGAGCAGCTTCAACAGGTCAGGGCAGTGCTCTTTTTCTACCGCGGGAAATCCAGCAGCAGCAGCAGCAGGGAGAGACAGTGGGGGCTGTATGAAACCTTAGTGCCCATCACAGTAGCATCCCCAACATTCTCTGAATGAACCCCAAAAAACTCCACTAAGAGGATCGAAATGCAAAGACCTCTAATCCAATAAACAAATTCTCCAAAGGAATCAAGACTGACTCAATCTTGCCAGAGACTGTACAAGTTACAGCACGATGGCACAGGTTACACCTTCCTGACACCATCAGGTGTCTAAGTCTGAACTGCTTCAAGGTCAAGCAGCTGTTTGTCATGACACCTAAGAAACGTGACTGCGCTACCTGGGATCTCACCTTGTTGATCTGTGGCCCACAGAATGGTATTTTGGCGGCTGTTCCACAGTTATGGAACTCTGTCTTGGAGAGCTGCTAACGCCCAAATGCTTCTAACACACTCACTGGTCTAGCCCAGGTTCAGAGCCTCTGTGCGAGGGGTGGCAAGAAGCAGTGCTAGCATGACAGGATTTCTGAGTGTATTATACATGCCAGCACAGTACAGGGGGCGTTACTCGAACAAAGCCACTTTGAAAACTGAAAAATAAGGCACTTTTACTCTGCACATAGATGAAGCCTAATGTAAGCAGTTTGAAAAGCACAAATAAAAATAGTTCTCATTTCACCTTCCAGTAGGTGGCACCAGCTATAAGGATACCCCCCCCACACACAAACACACACTCTTTTGCACAATTTCAGCAGGTTACATTATATTAAATGCCAACAATCCTGCTTTCACTTCCTTCCTAAGCGAGGACAGGAACAAAGTATGAAAATAAGAGTGAAAGTGAGGAGAATAAAACTAAATGATGGGAAGAAGTGAAACCAAAATCATTGTACAATTATGATTTAGTTTGGGTTGCAGCTGGATAGCAGTTTTTTCCTGCATTGCCAACAAGATGCTAGTCCAATAAAGCTGCCTGAAACCTTACACCTTACGATAGTGAAGTACTAATGGGAAATCTTTTACATTATTCTCAGTCCTTAAAGGCTAGAGTTATTGTTATTTGGACAAAAGAAAAGCTCTTTCTGGTACAAAGACCTTGAATCACTGTCTGTGCAAGGGCAGATTGCTATCAACCAGCAAACTTGCCAAAAATAGACCAAAAGGTCAACCCGAGGAAGGCGAATCATAAACCATCAAGTTAATCTTCCTTGCCCGATCCTTGCTACTATATGGTTTTGAAGATGAGGTCACAGAAAAATGGGAGTGCAAGGAGATGGTAGGGGTCTGGACCTCACTCTGAAAACTCAAGCTGCCTATTTATGCATTTCAAAAAGGATTTCAGGGCCAGTCATTGTCAAGGGACATTACCCTATTCTACTCTTGGTAGACATTTGACATCCCTTTCAGAAGGCACTCAGAAACTCTTGCTATGCTGAATCTTCAAGGGAAGTCATTCTGAAACCATAGAAATATAGTTCTTTTGTCTGTGCTGCAGCTGTTAGGCAATGACAGGGAGAAAATGAGCCTTCTCTGCAGTGGCACCCATCCTGCCAAAGAAGCTTTTCTCTGATTTCCATCAAGTTTCCATGCAGGTGTGTTTTAGGTCTTTACTAAAAGGGTCTGTTTATTTAGGCTTTCTCCTAACCAATCTTTGTACCCGTCTCATGATACGGCTGCTTGTTTAGGTGTGGACTGGTTTCTCTGTTTTCCATTTTGTTGTAAAATACTTTGGCAGTTGTTTGAAATTAGAAGCAGTATACACATATTTTTATTATGAATAACAAGTATGATGACTACTGCTGCTCAGGGACAGCCACCAGAACATCCTTCTACATGCTCTTGCAGTCCGAACTGGGTGCGTGTATTTAAAAGGGCGTTACTAATCTATTTTAAACATTGATATGGAACACAGAGGTGACTGACGGTGGTATCTTGGATATGCAGAGCCCAAGTCATTTTAACTACTGCACTGAAGCTGGCCCCAAGGACAACATGAAACCAACACAGATGCTAGAGCACTGGCGTAATACACTCCAAAGCCACCTGTGCAAAAGCAAGCAGGCTATTCTGCTTTCCAGTACAGAATAAATCTGAACTACGTAATACTTGGAATTGAAACTGCATTTCTGCATCAAAAGATGCAGAAAAGTTGGCTGGATGGAAAGGCACACATCCAGTCAATGGCAGCTCTTCCTGAAAGCTCTCCTGCCCAAGTTTTTTCTACACCACCCTCTAACATGCATTATGATAACAGCAAATAATGCAATCGGCCCACACGTCAATCATTTCAAGGTCTGAAGCTGACTTCTCTGACCAAAATGCTCCAGGCCCAGCTACTTCTACCAAGGCAGGTCACGCACCTTGAGACACACGCACACACCTAGGACTAAAGCTGACACGTTTTGCAAAAGGTTATCTCAAAGATTAATAACCACTTTTGCCTCAATCAGCAAAACTTAGGGCAAAATATTGGGCTTACTCTGTTAAAAAGTACAGTATGTAAGTATAATTATAATGTGATGCTGCAGCCTACCTTGCTATGTAAGACGAATGGAGGCTCACTGAGGTCCTTGGTTCCGATCTGTTATCCCAGCTTGGAGGCACCCAAAAATAAAAAAATAAAAAAGCCACCCTGTAGAGACAAAGCATTGATTTTCAGATACATTCCGAAACAGATCAAGGTACTTTAGGTAACTCGGCTTCACGAGCTGTCTTACTGAAAAGCACGGGTTGCCTTCTCTATACTTTCTTTCTATACCAGTTTCAATAGTTTTGCTCTTCAAATACAAAATAACATTTCTCAGGGGCTGAAGGAAAGCTTCTATCATTAGAAAGCAGAAGATAATCAAAAGAAGGTGGAAATCATTTAGAAGCAACTACGTAGCCAAGCAGGAGCAAAGGGAGGTAAGTTTTATTACTACATTTTGCCTACGGTGCCTCAATGAAGCAATTAGACAAAGAGCATCGGAATCGGGCATCCCTTGCTGCCCAGAGATTATAGCCCCCGATAAAGTATAAATACTGGCTATCTGCAACTTGAACACATTGAAGCGTTAATGGAAATAAGATTTTCGACTTTATAGTCCACCTTGGCTGGAAAATAAAAGACTTGTTTTCAAAGAATGCAGGCAAAGCAGAAGCTGGAATTTCAGCCACTGTATCCTTTTACACAATGAATTTGACACCTTGTTTAATTCTCTCAAGCGCTTGTGTATTCCCATATGTGGATGCACCTGGTCACTTGGCTGACAGTCAAACTATGACATAGCCCATAGTCTTGGGTTCCAGCTCTCACAGCAGTACGCTGGGGGACAGAAACACATTTTCCCTAATTCTGATTATAGTACTAGAATTCTCTAAAGATCAGACCTAGCAAAAAATCATGAGCACGTTTTTGCGGTGGGGTGGGGGGTGGGGGGTTGAAGAACATCAGGCATATGGACAATGAATGTTGTGGAAAGTTGCTGTGAGGATAAGAAGCAAAGGCCTGGTTTTCAGAGCAGCAGATAAAGAGGTAAAGCTGCTCCTGGAATGGACAATTTCATAGGGTAGGTGGAGGCTTGCATTATAGAACGTAAGAGACACAAAATTCCTTACACACACGAGACATGGCATTTCAATGATCTCCCCTGATAGGCTTGTTTCTGTATCTGTTTACTTTGGCATTTTATTTTATTTATAACATTTGTATAATGTTCCTTATCTAGTCAGCTCTAGAACAGCGAACAATAAAAAGGAGGGATGATGATGATTATATTGCATTTATATCCTGCCTTTCTCCCTCTTGCAAGGTTCTCCTCCTTTTAATTTATCCCCACAAGACTGTGAGGTAGAGTTGGCTGAGAGTGAGTGACTAGCCCAAAGTCACCCCAGGAGCTCCATGACTGAGTGGGGACTAAACCTGGATCTCCCTAGTCCCAGTCCAGCGTTCTAACCGCAAAGCCACACTGGCGATCCCAACAGATATGGACAAACATCCTGTCAGGTGAATCCCTTTCTGCAGCCTGACATGATATAGCCTGCAGACAAGTTCACCTCACGCAGTATTTTTAAGAACACCCATGATGTGAAGTCCTTCATCATGAAGTATAGCTATGTACAGTTATGTGCCACTGAGTCATCTCCAATGGGTGAAAGCGCTCCGACATGTCCAGTCCACGACAGCCCCACTCAGCCCTTCCAAATTCAAGGTTGTGACTTTGTCTCTGGATTCAACCCATCTTATAGAGCTATGGGGCACAACTTGTATTGCCATCGTGCAAAACAAAACCTGCATGGGTGGGATTAAAATCAACAGGTTTAAAACAACTTCACTCTTTCCTCTAGTAATTTGTCTGCCTGGAAATCTCTGGGCTCCTGTTGCGTGTTCTAGATGAGAAAGTGGGGCACAGTTTATTCATACTGACCTCTGGAATTCACAAGGTGAGATTTTAATGGATGCTCCAGACCACAGTCAGTACTCCACTACATTTCAGGGAAGCTCAGTAGGAGGCGGGCAAACTGGTCCACCATTATTGATCAGAGCCCAGAAAGCTTCCAAGAAACCTCAAGGCCCCTCAGAACGGAGTTTTCAAAATGGCTGATTTGAGGAGCGCGTGCTCTTCCCAGTCAGGAGGCCAAGACTGCGGAGTCCAAGTGGCAGCTCATTTTTACTATCCCACAAACCCTCTGGGAAAGATGTGAAACTAATCCTACAATCAGGAGGAGAGACTGCATCAGAGATTAGTGGAACACAGGAGGAAGGGCTTGAAATAAACAAACTGATAAGCCACTCCTTTCTTTAAAAAAAAAGTTAGTTGCACCATCTCACATTACTTTAGGAAAGGGCTATTTTGAACAGGAGTATCAATAAAGCATCCTTGAAACCAATAGCACCTACAGATTTGTTTGCCTTCTATAATTACACGGCAAAGTATCCAGGCTAAACACTGTGATCTACCCTAAATGCATAAGGATAGCCGTCTATTGTTTACAGAAACTCATTCATATCTTGCACAGTTCCAGCTTTACTAGCTAAGAAAGTGACATGTAACTGACCAAAGAAGAACAGCTTCTCTCCTTCACCAGTTAACCCAAGGATGGTAGCCACTCTAGTTTCATCGGTTTGCTGATGCCAGTCTTGTTTAACGCTGCTTTACTCACAGCAGAACCACTGGGACTTTGGATAGTCACAACTAACTTGTTCCATGAATTACATGTGCTTGACTTCAGTCTGAATCCAATCCTTTGCCTGTATTTTCTTGTCCCTAACTTCTGTATCTTAAAAATGGGAAAAGTGAACACATTTGAAAGCAAAACCCTAGTCAGTGACAGAGCTAAGCACAAAGCCTTGTAACCTTGATCCCAAGGACACCAAGGCCATGCGTAAGGGTTCTCCTTGCAACTCAAAATCTGAAATGTTCAACTACACGTGGACTCCCAAGAAACAAAATCCAAAAATACTTGGTAACAGGATATTTTGGTGTGGGGTGGGGGACGTAGGGTGTGTTTCGATGACTAAGGTCCCAAAAACAAGTAGCAATGCTTAGCAAGACAGCTGTACAACAGCTGAGCCACTACCAGGGCCTGGAGCACTGCTCATTATACAGTTCACCAAGAGTCATAATGGTTTCAGGGAAGCAGAGCTGAATTCCATGGGTTGCTCAGCAGAGAATTTGCTGGGCAATGTCAGCCTCCGTTCCCCATTTGGGGAATCTGAATTAATTCCCTGCTAGTGCTTGCAGTCATTCAACTAGCATCAAAAGCGTGCTGGTGACTGCCTCACGTATTTAGGTCAGGATAAGCAAAATGAAGCTCTAAACAGATTTCATGTTGTCATCATGAAGGAAATTACAAGATGATTTGAAATGAGATCACAAAGAAGAACCATCACATCCAGCATGGTGGCCATTACTGCTTCTCTCAGATGTGGTAAACTAGCAAGTCTGTAGGGAACCTGTAGCCCTCCAGATGCACTTGGAGGGTATTTGAGAAATTGTTCTCACCATCAGCATAAAATGGCTGATTGCTTGACTGCTGCTTTGGCGTTTGCCTGTTGCTTCTATGGATTTTAGGCTGTATCTTATTCAGCAAAAACTTTTGTTCCCTGTCTACCAAATACAACATCTCTTTAATAAACTGTCTCACTACAATTTTACATATGCTTTGGACTATCCAGTAGTTATTTTTTTGGGAGGAGTCTATTCCACCAATAAATTTGTACCAGAATATTTTTTAATTTTCACCATTATACAGCTCTTTTAAATGCTTCACCTGCTTCATGAAAATTAACGAAGGGTCAATGTAAATGAATTCTGGGTGCCCTTTTGACAACTAAGATTCATCTCCTATAATGCAAAGAACAGAGGACTTTACAAACATTCAATAGGTGGCATATAAAAACCTGCTTTTGGGGAAGCCTATGCATAATTGCTAGAATATTGCGTACATTTTGTATTTATTCACTGCCATGGATACATATGCATATATGTAAAGATGATACAAAATGGGTACTCCTGCACTGGAGAGGCCTGGCGACCCTGGTCTAGTTCATTCACCACTTCATTGGGATGCGTATTAAATTTTCAGTGTCTGCTCCACTTGCTGCCATGAATCACTGGGCTAAAAAGAAATAGGCCCATGTAATGAAGCGATTTAGACCCCTGATAAAATCTCTAGACAAAACTGAACCTCACCTGTTTGCAGAACTTTGCCAACTAGTCACCACAACCGATTATATATGCAGTATTTTACACTTACCTTTATGCAGTAAATCAGCAAGAATAAACAGAACTATATGACCTCCATTGAAACATATTAAATATTTGAAATACAACATGAAGCATTTAACAGTGCTGTATATCTATTGCAATCGGTGATCCTCCAGATGTTTTGGCCTATAACTCCCTAGCTACCATGGAAGTTGTAAACAAACGCATCTGGTGGACCACAAGTTGCCCATCCAGATCTATTGTAACTAAGCCAATGCAACTGAAAGAATCCTAGTCTTTCCCCAAGTCTGTTGCAGCTGCAGATTACCAGAGACCAATGGTTATGTTCTCTTTCGAGGAAGCCTTATATTACTGATATCCTCACAGAGCAATTCCAGGGTTCCCAAACTCTCAGATTTTTCTAGAACAAAGGCAATGACAGAAGCACAAAGCAAAAGGACACCGTTTTACAAACACCGAGTTTAAAAACTCGAACAATCTTGTTACACAAGATTAAAACCTGCAATAACACAGGGAAGCGTAATGGCTGCAGTACAGGCAACACTGAGAAGGTACTTGAAGATGCTGCTCCTTTAAGCCTTATTAACTTACACTGAGAACCTTCATGAACATTAGAGCACTGAAATTAGAAAATCCATCTCTACATTACTGATTACTTTGTTCTCATTCAACAGGAATCATGACCTTCAACCACAGGCAGCTGGAGACTGCATTAATTCACCTCCCTGGAGAGATGCCAATAATACCGAACCTATAATATTTATCCATTTATAATTGAACAGCAAGATCTGGAATATTTAATGTCTCGTCTTTTTTGGGACATACCAAGCTTCTCGGGGACTCACAGGCCCCTTGGTGTAAGATTTCAGTTACATTTGACTTCAGGCTGAATTCTCCAATGGTTGTTCCATCTGGGGTTTGT